TCTGCTATATAAGGAAAAATTGATATCTCATATCTATGTGAATTGACTCAACCAAGGCGAACGAATGTGTTGGTGACAGCATGAAAATTACCCCCCATTAGACAACTTTTCAGGCAAATCACTGATTTGATATCCCATCGTATACCTATCGTGTTCTCACATTACGGTCGTAGAGAAAGCTAGCTATGTTTTGCAATCAGCGTAGTCGACTACCCCACTAGGAAGCATTATTGTGGACTCCGAATTTCTCAAATCCGGAAAAGTTAAGCTGTCGGTTGAGCTCTTAGCCCTCTGGAAATACTAATCATTTCTAGTTTGGCAAACCCTAACTCTAATTAACTCTAAACAAATCAAACATAATTTTGTAAAGGGAGGCTTCTAGTTTTGTGTGATATTAAGTATACTGCCAAAACATTCGTTTCTTAGGACACATTTAATTCAGAAAAAAAGGGCGCGAGTTATCCCACAACCCAATATATATCAAGGATCGCCTAACTAGCAACAGTTGTACTTCTCATCTACTCCTATTGTCAAATGCTTTCGAAATCGTCATGTTCTTCACATGATACCCCTCCGAGCTAAGCGGTTGAAATTCAGTGCGGTAAGAGCTATGGTATTGATGGTGTACTAGTATAAAGTACATGAAAATATTAGGTCTTAACAAGTTCTAAAAAGGTATTCATTGAACATCTTTTACAAAGAATCTTCCCCACAGTCTTTTTCACATCAGCCGCATTTCAGGGTAGTACGTTGAATTTGTGAATCTTTAGCGATTTTTAGAGCCTTTACTCATCATCGAAATTAACTGTAAACGTTGCTATGCCATCACTTCCATTTCATTCTGTATGCGTCAAAAGATTATGTTCTAAAGAATTGAAGTTGGAATCAAATGAAATTGCCCAAGTTTTTGATTTTAGATGAGAGTATCCCTCAATTTTATTATTAACAATTTTGATGCTTGAGAAACTTCTAGGTCGCAACTCTTTAACTGCTTGTTTGATAATGACTGAGGTGGTTCCAAGTCTCTCTGATTTTGTGTATCAGATTCTCCTCCCGTGTTGTTGTAGTGGTATGCTTATAAAATTGTATGAGCATTTATCTATTTAAAGCATAATCTCTTCCAACAAAAGGTGGAACTAACGAGAATTTGATTGTAATAAACAACATCTATCAAAAATTGCAATAGCTAAAAAGATTTTCTACCATCAAGGCTTTAAGAACTACAGTTTTGGTAGCCTTGTCGATGGAAACGTATAAACCAGCATGCAGTATATGGTATCCTATATTTGAATGCGTTATGCAAGCTTAGTTGACTTATAAAGATAATGGATTCCTAGCTGTTCTTCCGAAAACACTGATATTTTCCTTAATAACAAAGTATCAAAAGTAGACAACATTAGAAAA